GCTGCAGAAAGTTAAGGGTTTTAGAAAAAGAAAAAAAGAAAACTAATTCTGTCCTGAGAGCCCCAGGATAGAAAAGATTGTAACCTGTCTAGCCCCGAGGCAGTCCTAGTACTCAGCAATTTCATTTAGTCCCACTGTGATTCAATTCTCCTTCTTTGAAGATTGGACCCACACTGGTTTTATTTTTCGTCTTTTCATGCTCTGTGGTCCTTTGTAGCATTTAAAATAGTAACCTGTGGTTTGGGGAGGCCATTAGGCAATTCAGCCCCCTTAGCAGCATGCACCTGCTGAGTCATTGTGCCCTAGGTTGCAAGTATCCTCTGACACCATTCGAATCAGTGAGCTATTTGGACAGGGTTTTCCATTGTGTCCCAACTGTTCAAACGTTAAGCGTCTGTTCTTGGTCAAACAGAGGAAAAGGCAAAATTGTTCGCATCTTTCCTGTTGTGATTCCTTGATATTCATTTGCCCTGTCTGCCCTGTCCATGTACTTAAGAATAGCTCATTTTTGTCAATTCCTTCACACATGCTAGTGTTAGGGACTGAATTGTATCTCCCCAGATTTGCAGGTTGAATTCCTAATCCCCAGAACAACTCAGAATGTGACTATGGAGATACAGCCTCTCCAGAGGTCACTGGGCTTAAATGAAGTCATATTTGTGGACCCCAATCCAGTGTCTTTGTAAGAAGGGGGAGAGATCCCAGACACACACAGGTGCAGAAGAAAGACCTCGTGAGTACGCAGCAGACACACAACTGTCTGCAAAACACAGAGGACTCTGTTGACTCCTTGATCTTGTACTCCCAGCCTCCAGAACTCAGAAAATAAATTTCTATCATTTAAGCTGCCTGATCTGTGGCATTTGATGATGGCAGTCTTGCCACACTAATATAACCAGGCAGTGTCATAACTGCTTTTTATGATTTATTTGTTGTTCCTTTATTTGAAAGGCAGAAAGACAGATAAAGTCTTCCACCTGCTGGTTCACTCCACAAATGCCTGCCATCAGCCAAGACTGGGCCAGGCCCAAGCCAGGAGCCCAAAACTCCATCCAGGTCTCCCCTGTGAGTGTCAGGGACCCAGGTACTTGAACTATCACTTGCTGCCTCCCACAGTGTACAACAGCAAGAAGATGGGTCAGAAGTGGAGGAGCCAGGACTCTAACCAGACACTCCAACACAGGGCATGTGTGCCCCAAGAGGCATTTTAACGGCTGTGCCAAACGCCCACCCCCATGAAGTATTTAATCGTCATGGTTACCAGATGAAGCAGGTACGATTTAGACAGGGCTTCCCAATATAGACTTTGCCCACAGTAGGGGCTCAGGCCTGACTTTGAAAGTAGGTAAGTGGAGTGCTCGGGCTCATAAATGGGTGAGGTGGGGAGAGGGATTGGATGGAGCCGAGTGTTTTCCTGACACATGCATATCTTGATCCGGACTGTGTGTGTTCCTTGCTCATCACACGTAAGGAACACAAGGTGGTGTCCTAGGAGTGCGTTAGGAGGAGCTCACAATTTTGCTCTTAGTCTGGTTTCTGTTGCTGCAACAGAATGAATACTCGAGGCTAGGCAAATTACAAAAACTGAGAGGTTTATTTGATTTACGATTCTGGCAGCTGGAGGGTCCATAGAACTCAGTGCCGGCATCTTCGAGAGGGCCCCCTGCTGTATCACAACATGGCAGAGAATGGAAAGGGAATAGACCCCGCTTTATAACAACACACTCTCTGGCCAGCGCTGTGGCTCACTTGGTTAATCCTCTGCCTGTGGCACCAGCATCCCATATGGGCGCCGGTTTTAGTCCCGGTTGCTCCTCTTCCAGTCCAGCTCTCTGCTGCGGCCCAGGAGGGCAGTGGAGGATGGCCCAAGTCCTTGGGCCCTTGCACCTGCATGGGAGACCAGGAGGAGGCGCCTGGCTCCTGGCTTCAGATCAGCGCAGCGTGCTGGCCGTGGCGGCCATTTGGGGGGTGAACCAGCGGAGGGAAGACCTTTCTCTCTGTCTCTCTCTCTCACTGTCTATAACTCTACCTGTCAAATAAATGAAAATATAAAAAAAACACACACACACACATTCTCATGGGAACAGACTCACCCAAGACCAACCAGCACTGCTCTCTAATTGTCTTCCACCAGGTGCCACCTCTTTAAGCTTCCACCTGCCCCCCGCCCCTGCCACAGTGGGGCCCAGACCTGCAGCACGTGCACCTGTGAGGAATGCACTCAAACCATCTCCAAACCACAGCAGCCGGGAAAGGCCCGAGCATAGGAAGGGGTCATTGCAGTCTCCTCCAGGGAGAGGAGCTGTCCTCCATGCAGGAGCTGACGGTCTTCATCAGCAACCAGCTGAAAGCTCCCAGTGACTCCCCCTATGCCAATACAAATAGAACCACAGCCAATACGCATGTAATGTGTTAGCCCCCAGATAGCACTCGTGTATGTGTTTGTACTCTTCCAGAAATGGTGTGGCTTGTGAAGACAGGTGTGGGTTTGAGTTTGGTTAATCGATTGGCTACAGGATCCTGGGTGAGTTATGGAACCTCTCAGAACCTGTTTTGCCTTCTGTCAAATGGTGATGGTGATGGTACAAGAGCCAAAATGATACCCCTGTGGTAGGATAAGGATGGAGCGGGAGAGGTAGCCAGCAGGACATTTTGCACGCAGGGGACACTCAGTCTCTTCCCTCAAAGAGGCTGTCTTTGCACCAGTGGACTTCCACAGTAGTTCCATTCCCTTCAAACAGCTCGCGTTACTGTCCACAGCTCTCGTTACTGACGACAGTGATGCTTAACTCCAGCAGGGGCCTGGAGCTAGGGACGCCTGCATTATCAGGAAGCACCCCCACCTTCCTGCTGAGAACTGCTGTCTACACTGTGGGACCCCAAGTCTCCCTGACCAGGTTGATATGTTTGAGATACTTTCTCCTTCACTCTTACTGCTTTCTCTCAGTGGAGTAGGCGTTAGCTCCACAGGAGGGCAATGCAGTAAGCTAATGAAAAAGGTACTTGATACACTGCCTTCTCACATGCAGCTAGACGCCAGGAAGCATCTGGGAGAGTTGTGGGAAAACAAGATAAAGAACGCACAGGCCTAGAGGAGTGTTGACTGGGCCATTTGGGGAAAATGGATAAAAGGGAAGGTGAGAGGAATGGAAGATTATCATCATTTTTCTCATGGAGCCTCATTTAGCTGTCTGTGATTTGGCTTCCTCCGGGGGCACCTGCCACCTCTCACTAGAAACAGCTATGTATGCTAGAACCCTGTCCCACATCCAGTCTCACCTGCCCCAGGTCTAAAACCTGGGCTACTGACTTGGGTCAGATGAGTATATAGTTACCTGAACCATCTCATCAAAATCATATTAAATACCAAAAGGCCCTAGAATTTTATCTCTCAGAACCTAAAAATGTTCTCCCTGTAATGATACATGAATGGTTGCACATAAAATTTCATAGCCCCAAATATGGAAGACTAGAAAGGGAGGAAATGGCCTGTGTCTCTCATGAACAGCTGGCACACAGGCTAGGTTAACTGAGCATCATTCTTTGGCTGTTCTAAGGGAAGGGTTATAGGACCAAAGTGTCCAGAAAGTTCTGAGTTGAAGTAATGTTTAGTGTTTTGGGTAAGGGACCTTATAACTGAAAATACTAAGGATACCTCTTAGGCCAGGCAATTACATCTGAACTGAGGAGTTCAGATCAAGCTCAAGGTCAAAGTTACGGCTTTGAGAAGAGTCAGGCGATGCCATCATCTGCAGCAGCCGTGCCTTCTAGCAGCCAGGGGCTCCTGCAGTGCTGCCAGCCGAGCCTCCTCTCCAGGCAATGACTTAGCTGCTATGGCCCAGGGCAAACCAACAGTAAACAAGTCCTCCTAGGGATCCCCTTGACTTCTTTCACAGACAAATCTCCAAGGACTGGTTGGGTTTCCATGCTTATGTTGTTATCATCTTCAAGGGAGTCAAAATGCACATCAATGAAAAAAATAACGGTGTGTGATTGTGTGGCAAATTGTGTGTGATTGACTTTGGATCACTCAGAGATAGCTTCACTGGGAAAGAAAACCTTTTGGACTTGGAGAGTGTGTAGAATGTAAAGAAAAATGAGAAGGAGAATGGTTGCACTTTTGTTTGTGGGTCTCTATTTTCACTGGTGATGCCCACATGGGAACTCGGGGGAATGATGCATGTGAAAGAGGAAGTTAGCCCAGCTTAGAAGGAGAAGGCAGTTCGGCAATGTAGAGAATCCAAGAGCAGTCAGGTGGATATTTGAAGACTTCATCAGCTTTAGGGGGATTGGGAATTACAATTGTCATCAACAGAACCAAAGTCCACTACATATTCCTCGGGGCAGAGCCTTATTATGTAATAATGACGCCCTGCCTCCCCCCTTTTTCCTTAATCAGCAATGCGCAGATTGAGGTCACTGTGTACTTAAAAACCAAGTTCACATGAACCTAGGACAAGTGGTAGCCTGTACTTGACTTTGTCCCGTCGTTTGTTCCCTCAAATGTGTTGTTGGTTCTGAAATGCTTTGGCCTTTTTGGCATTGCTGGATGTCTGGCATATGTCACGTTCTGGTCACTTTACCCGGAGTCTCCGGGTCTTTTTTTTGACAACTGAAAGGACTAGAGAGGATGATTTTGAGGTTCTTCTAGCTCAAAGATTTGAGAATTTGGTAATTCCTCCCTATACACTGTAGAAATTCATCTCTCTATGTGGATTTTTCCATTTAACTGCCTCAAGTCCCCTGTGCCACTATTTCCTAACTAGAGATGTGCCAGGGGACATTAATCTGGTGGAGTTTCCTTGAGAAACTACTCAGCCACCTGGCTGTTCTCACAGTTCCCACCATTCCCTGCCGTTCGTTTATCCATTTGTGCAACACAAAGTGTACTGAAGACTTGTCCCATAATTATAAGCCCTAATCTTTCACAACTTCTCTGTGGTATATGTAACCCATTGTCCACATCACTCACTTTCTTTGACAAACCAGGCCGGCAGCAGTGTAGGAAATGTATATTTAATCATTCTCCTGAACGGTCAGAATGCTGAAATCAAGTTTTCGGTGACACAATGTAACACAGTTGTGGTGAGTCCAAGTGCCAGGCAGGCAGTGGTCAACACACGAAGAGTTTTGGGGGAGAAGGGCTGGAAACCAGCGTCCTTTTCCATCAAAGCTTTCTTCCACGAGGCCTTAGTTCATGCCCTGCTTTCAGAAGTCCCTGTGTGTTTCAAGGAGGATACCTGGATTGCCTTCATTTGAATTTTGGTGAGACTGGGTCCTGAGATCAAAATTCAGAGCAAGAGACCTTGAGCTGGAATTCCGGCATCTCTCTCTCTCACAGAACCCAGTTTGCAGGGAGACGGAAGGGAGAGGAACCTGAAGATAATCCCCTCTTGAATTTCCCAGGGCCCTGTGGGTTCAATTCCTTGGAAGACGCTGTCCAGGTTGCCTGACACAGACTTCCAGCTCTCTGTGCTGAGGCAGCAGCCAAAGAGACAGAAACCAGTGCCTAATCCTGGGAAGCAAACAGATGTATTTGCTCCCTCCTTTTTACTCTAAGTCAGGGTCTCTAACCTTGGCGTGACTGACGAGGGCTGGCTAATTCCCTCTGGTAGGGTGCCGTCCTGTACGTTGTAGGATGCTGAATAGCATCTATGGGCTACACTGGCCAGGTGCTAGTAGTACCGTGTCCTCACCTCCCAAGTTGTGATTCCCAAACTTCGTCTCCAGACATTGCCAAGTGTCTCCTGAGGAATAGGGGTGGAGGGGACGCAAAATTGGGCCTGGTGAGTCTCACTGTTCTAGGTGCTGTCAAGAATGGGAGCCATGAAGGACAGGGAGTCGAAGCCCCATACCTCGTGATGACGTAATGCCACGTAGGCAAGGTGAGAGGTCCTTCCCTGGACCACTAATAGATGAAAGTCCTCTGACAGATACACTGGCATTGGTTTGTTTTTAAAGAGATGCTCCCATGATTTAGAAAAGCACTGTCAGCCAACTCCTTTTCTTCCACTAAAATAATTTTTCATTCTTTGGCGTTTATAAGGTGGGAGGGGGAGCCAAGACACTTTTGAAGGCATCGGAATGAAGTGCAGATCTTTGGCCCCACCTCTGAGGGTGCGGTGGCAGCTGACCAGCAGCGTCTTCATGGCATACACAGCAGTTGAGTTTGTGGAATACAAGACGAGGTTGTATCGTGAGCGAAACTTGCCAGAGCTTCCTCGGAGCAGCACCACAGCACGAGAGACTAAGATTCAGAGCCAAGGCAGGTGCACTTTCCCATCTCTCACTCCCCGGAAGTCAATGGAAGGTCCCTGAGATACGGGAGCACCTGTGTCCACGTGTGCGCCACTCAGCAGTCTGCACACTCCTCCAGATCACATGAATTAGTTCCCCAATTTTTCATAGATGTCTTTGAAGACAGATTTATTTTGCTCTTACTGGTATCTTCTCTGGGTTGCTTTTGACATCTTTTTTTGTTTCCTGTTTTTGTTTGTGCACTCCAGACTCCTAGATATGAATTCATTTCCCCGCAGAAATATAAAACTAGGTCATATCATCTGGTAAAATTGTTCTGTAGATTCCTGGGATTCTGAAAATAACAGCAATAAGACACCATTACAGCCAGTCAGCAAACTTCTGTTTGAGAACCAAGCCCCTCCCTGACGCTGTGCCTGTGGGTATCTTGTTTAGAAATGGGCTTAATTTTCTGTATTTTGATGTTGTCCTATTGAGGCCACGCAGTCCCATGGGTTGCTGGGGCAAGGGGCATGTCTTGAATCCATCCTTAAGGGAGGTCATTCCAGGGACTTCTCAGGAAGAGACAGGTCCTCAGATGAGGAATGGGCAGGCTCCCTGGTAGGGGTGGAAGAGTGCCTCCTGCTTCAGTCCCCAACAAGAGGGTATGTGTGACCTAAACTGTCATGGTCGGTCATAATATGTGTATCTAATAATGACCAAGTCTTTAGTTTAAAAATATCTGAGGGGCCGGTGTTGTGGCATAATGGGGTAAGCCACCACCTGTGATGCTGGCATCCCATATAGGTACCGGTTTGAGTCCCGGATGCTCCATTTCCTGTTCAGCTCCCTGCTAATGCGCTTGGGAAAGCAGCAGAAGATGGCCCAAGTACTTGGGCCCCTGCACCCACATGGGAGGCCCAGAAGAGGCTCCTGGCTCCTGGCTTCTGCCTGGCCCAGCCCTGGCTGTTGTGGCCATTTGGGGAGTGAATCAGTAAATGGAAGAGCTCCCCTCCTCCCACCCCACAAATCTGCCTTTCAAATAAATACAAATAAATCTTTAAAAAATATCTGTTTGGGCCGGCGCCGCGGCTCACTAGGCTAATCCTCCGCCTTGAGGCGCCGGCACACCAGGTTCTAGTCCCGGTCAGGGCGCCAGATTCTGTCCCAGTTGCCCCTCTTGCAGGCCAGCTCTCTGTTGTGGCCAGGGAGTGCAGTGGAGGATGGCCCAAGTCCTTGGCCCTGCACCCCATGGGAGACCAGGATAAGTACCTGGCTCCTGCCATCGGATCAGCGTGGTGCGCTGGCCACAGCGCCCTGGCCGTGGCAGCCATTGGAGGGTGAACCAACTGCAAAGGAAGACCTTTCTCTCTGTCTCTCTCTCTCACTATCCACTCTGCCTGTCCAAAAAAAAAAAAAAAAAAAAAATCTGATTGAAGGCTGTTCCTCTGGTTCTAGAGAGAAGGAGGTGGGGCTGCAGCTGACTGGCTCGCAGTACATCTCCCAGTGTATCTATGTCATGGCTTTTTTTTTTTTATATAAAAAGGCTGCAAATGATTGCTTTTAGGGGAAAAATGTAGACAATAAGCTGTACTTTGTAGGTCCTGTTGTCAAGTTGTAGGTTATTAAAAACTCTTTTGCAGTGCTATGAGAAATCAAGGGGGAAAAAAAGTTCCTTCTAATGGTAAGATCGCCAAAGGACACGGTCCTCAGGAAACCTCCCTGCACTGGCGGTGGTGGAGGGTGGGAAATGAGGGCAGCTGGTGAGTTTCCTTCTGAAGAACTGACTCCGGTCCCTGCATTGTGATAAGCGCATGGAGAACAAGAGGAAGAATGAAAAGAAGCCGGTCAGATCTTTGCCTGCCCCGGGGACTGAACACTCTAGATAAAGAATGGAGAATGACTCAGCGAGCATAAGCTCAATGATACATGCATGGCACAGGGATGGCAAATCCAAGGACCCCAGCAAAGGGGCACAGGCGCTGGGGCGTGCTTTCCTGCAGTGGACAGAGGAAGTAGTACGTGTGGGTTGCTCTAGAGGTAGAGATTTCCGGGGAGGGGCAGGGGCAGAGGGAGGAAGGCTGGGAGCACTAGCAGGTGTTTGCGGGGAGGAGGATGCTCATCAAGCACAGTGGTTGGAGGGCTGTGACCGCAGAGCTGAGGACGGTAGCTGCCATCTAGCGGTGCCCCAGAGTCAGGGTACGTTCCACAGCCAAGGGTTCCTGTGATGAAAACAGTGGGGGAAGACTTTCCTCCCAACACCTTGCTTCGCATCTCCTGCAACAGGAAGGGGGAGCAGCGAGTACAAGGTTTGAGAACTAGTTTGGGTGTGAGATAATGGAGACAGGATTAGGATCAGTGTGAGAGATGACAGGGGGAAATGCGCTAGGGGCTGGTAATAAATGACAGGGAGGACAGAGGAGGCACACAATTAGCTCTAGAGCCGTGAGCCTCGGGGCTGGTGGGTAACCAGTGAGTCATGTGGCAGTGCTGGCTCATACACAAATTCCACATGCTGGGGAATATTCCGAAGGAAATGTCCTAGCAGTAATTGGAACCCAAGGACTGCAGTGAGAAGGAGAAATCTCCGTAGGAGGCCTCGTTGGCGACTCATCTGCCCACTCTCCCGTCCCCGGGGCCCTGCTGGAGCGGTGGGGGTGAGGTCACTTGTGTGAGTAATTATGTCATTATGCTTTGTAGGTAATAGTGGCATTCGGGGTAATTAGGGATCAACTCCTCTTTCTCTTCAATAAGATATTTTTGCCTTCACTGATGACTCCGTCAACGAAGAGGTGTTTCAGTGGACACAAGCATTGCATTGTGCGGCGCTGTTTTCTCTCTGACTCTTGTTAGGAACACAAGCGCAGCCAGGCCCAGTCTCCCCTGCCGTTCGTGATTCATCTCACCTGTGGTCCCAGAGGCTTTGCATGCCTTTGTACGGCCAGGGCACATTATTTCAGCATCACGTAAGAGGAGAGGGGCAGGAGCAGCCAGCCGACGGCAGAGCGAGGGGAGACACTCGGGGCAGCCCTGGAGTTGAGCAGCTGCAGGCTACTTCGCCTTTTGATCTCGGAGTCTGTAAAGGGAGGGAAGAACATTGAAGGTCCCGTAAGAGAAGCTGGATGTCGTCTTCACGTGCCTGCCTAGCAAAGAACAGGCCAGAGCGAGGGTTCCCCACACAGGCACTGTTGTACCCCTCGCTGCATGTTCCTCTGACTGGCTTCCTTTCTTCAAAGGAGTTCCATGCCATGGTCCCCTTCGGTAAGCACTCAGCCAAATGCAAACCTACACCAGCAACGAGGCTGTTAGAGGTTAGCCAAGGAAGAATGAGCCAGACACGCAGCCATGGCCAGGTCTTAGTTTCAGGCACATCTTTCCTCCAGGCTGTGACCTTTACCGGTTCTTTGTCACTGGCTTTCATTGCACCACTATACCGTAATGAAGAAGAATGGTGTTCATTTTGAAGTAGAGGAAGGTAGAAGTGAAGTCATAAAATTACTCTTCTTTTACTCTGTTTTCTCCTTACACAATCTGATCTCATTTAGTTCATTTTGGTTCTGTCACTGACTAGTTATGTAACTCTAGGCAAGTTAATATGTGATTGACTCCAGTTTCTTAATCTATAAAATAGGGCTAAAATAATAATAATCTACATCATAGGATGTTTAAAATAAGGCTTAATAAGTGCATGAAAAGCACTTAGTTTAGTGGCTGGCACATAGTGAGCACTGATTATTAGCTATAAAAACAATAGTAATCTCAGTTCAGCCTAATGATTATCACTTCCATCCTGATCATTTCCAAATCTACTTCCCTGGTTTGAACTCCATCTTGAGTCGCACTTCTGGATTTACAGTTGCCCCTAAATATGTTGGTTAAAAACATAACGATTCACCAACTGTTTTGAGTGTCTACTGTTGAGATTCAAAGATGTCCAATAAATAGCACTCTCTTTTCCCAGCTTAGCGCCAAACCAATTAAAGACAAGGACAGAAAAAGTAAGGCAGCGGAGACCAAAATATAACTTTGCTGAAAAAAATCTGATAACAAAAGATGAAACTTTATAAGTGGGCTGCAGCCCAGACCTCCCCAGTGGGAGCCGAAAAGGAAGTAGGGAAGCTTTCCTCCTGGCAGATTCTACCCCTGAAAAACTGACAACTTGGAGGAGCAGAGAAAAATGCGTACTTCCTTCCTGGTAGCATTTCCAACCTCCTAAATATCCTGGGTAGAAACATCACAGTCATTTTGACTTATTTCTATTGACCTTCACACATATTTATATATAAACACATCATCAATACTTACACAGTTTTTTTGCTCAAGTAATCTGTTTTCCCACTGCTGCTGCCCCAATTAATACACTCATAATTTCTTCCCTGAACATTGCCATAGGCTCTTGACTTCTTGGCTTCCTAGTCTATCAAAATAGTTTTTCTTCTCCTTTATCACCCAACTTGATCTCTGTCTTACCTACACAACCCACTGATCCTCTACAATCATGATTATGAGCTTTTTCCAGTGGGTACCATGTCTACACTGTGACAAACTTTTCTTAGGATATTTGTGCGATTCTTATCAGTCTCTCCTGGGGGATAATTGTGAACATACCTGGCATGCAGTAGAAACTTTAAAAAAAATGACCTGAATTAGTAGTATACTCAGAGAACGTAGGAGGTGATTCCCATGGTCCTATTCAACTTTTTAAAAATATGTGCAGAGGTGTTGACATTGTGGCATAGTGGGTAAAGCTACCACCTGCAACACTGTTATACCATATAGGTGCCAGTTTGTGTCCTGGTTGCTCCACTTCCGATTCAGTTCCCTGCTGATGGCCTGGGAAAAGCAGTGGATGGCCCAAGTGCTTGGGTCCCTGCACCCGTGTGGGAGATCCGGAAGAAGCTCCTGGCTCCTGGCTTCAGCCTGGCCCAGCCCCGTCATGGCCATCTCAGGAGTGAATCAGTAGATGGAAGACCTCTGTCTTTCTCTGTGTATGTGTCTCCATCTCTTTCTCTCTGTAACTCTGCCTTACAAATAAATAAATCTTCAAAAAAGAAGAAAAAAAAAAAAAAGAAGGGGCCACACTGCAGTGCTGTAGGGTAAGCGCCTTTGCTTGTGGCACTGGGATCCCATGTGGGCACCAGTTCCTGTCCCAGCTGCTCCTATTCCAATCCAGCTCTCTGCTATGGCCTGGGAAAGCAGTAGAAGGTGGCCCAAGCATGTGCAAGACCCAGAAGAAGCTCCTGGCTCTTGGCTCCTGGCTTCAGATTGGCTTAGCACTGGCCATTGTGGCCATTTGGGGAGTGAACCAGTGGATGGAAGACCTTTCTATCTGTACCTCTCTGTAACTCAGTCTCTCAAATAAATTAAAAAAAAAACTTCACAAATAAATAAATAAATAAAAAAGAAACCACATATGGAGCACCTACTTTTTACATGGCAAGAAGGAATTTTAAGGCCAGCGCCGTGGTTCACTAGGCTAATCCTCTGCCTACGGCATTGGCACCCTGGTTCTAGTCCTGGTTGGGGTGCCGGATTCTGTCCCAGTTGCCCCTCTTCCAGTCCAGCTCTCTGCTGTGGCCCAGGAAGGCAGTGGAGGATGGCCCAAGTGCTTGGGCCCTGCATCTGCATGGGAGACCAGGAGGAAGCACCTGGCTCCTGGCTTCGGATCGGCGCAGCGCACTGGCCGTAGCAGCCATTTGGGGGGTGAACCAATGGAAGGAAGACCTTTCTCTCTGTCTCTCTCTCTCTCACTGTCTAACTCTGCCTGTAAAAAAAAAAAAAGAAGAAGAAGAAGAAGAAATTTTATTGTTTTCTTAATTTTGAGCTTCCAAAAGTTGTATTTAATCCTAATATAGACACTTGGAATTAGAATGTAAGGGGAAAATCTATTTACTGAATAAAAGGTGTTCTCAATTTCTGTGTGTGTGTGTGTGTATGTAAAAGTATATATACATATATAATATTTCATTAATCATTGCCTTTCTCCTAGGCATTAGATATACAGTTTGGAGCTTTTCAACAATATCTGGACTGAGATACTGTTGCCAGCAATCATTGTTATAAAGATCAATGGTTCACTCCCCCACCCCGCTTTTCTACTAAGCGGGACCGCCACCAAACACTGCCTCATTGGTCTAGGTACGGTCATATGACCCACACTGAGCCAATCAAAGTCCTTCTTGGGAGTGCAGACTGGGGCTGATGGATTGAGGTCAGTCTGGTGAATCTCCAGAGAGAAAGACATTTTTTTAAATTTAGGAGCTTTGGCATCCGCATCTTGCCATATACACTAGAGTAAGCAAGTACAGAGAGTGTGGTGTAGAAATTAGAGACAAACTCATAGGAATTGAAATTCCTGATTCCACCTGTTTCTGAAGTCAGTATTTTTGATTTCATGAAATATAGTATCTTTTCCATAAATACCCCTTTCAGTTTACTTGAATTGATTTTCTGTTATAGGCAACTAAGAGCTCCCTAACCAAGATAGTCACCAATTTGTCCCTCAATAGATTATCTCTTGTGTGTGTGCTTTAAACCATATATAATGGTTTAAAAATTGTAGTAAAAACACATAACATTAAATTTATAACTTAAGCCATTTTAAGTATACAGTTCAGTAGTGTTAAGTATATTCACATTGTTGCATAACCAATATCCAGAATGTTTTCATCTTGCAAATTAAACAGCCATTCTGTCCGCCTCCATCCTCATCATCCCACCTGGTATCCACCATTCTATTTTCTATTTCTGTGGCTCTGACTACTTTGGATGCCTCATTTTCATAGACTTATACAGAGTCTGGCTTTTTGTGATTGGCTTATGTCACTTAGCATAATGTCCTAAATGTTCACCCATGTTGTAGCATGTGACAGGATTTCCTTCCTTTTTAAAGCCTGAATAATTTTGCATATACTATGCATATGTATTTATGTATATATCACATTTTGTTTATTCAGTAACCTGTCAGTGTACATTTTGGGGTTGCTTCTAGCTCTTGACTATTGTGAACAGTGCTGTTACCAACATGGATGTGAAAATATCTGTGAGACTCTCCTTTTAATTCTTTTGGATATGTATGTAGAAGTAGGATTGCTAGATTATAGAGTAGTTCTATTTTTAATTTTTGAGAACCTCCGATTCTATTTTGATAACAGTTGCCCTGCTTTAGAATCCCATCAACAGTGCATGTGGGTCCCACTTTCTCTATATTTTCGCAAACACTTGTTATTTTCTTGGTTTTGTTTGGCTTTGTTTTTGATAGTAACTATCCTAATGAATGTGAAATGATATCCCATTGTGGTGGTCTTGATTTGCATTTTTCTGATGATTAGTGATGTTGAGCATGTTTTCGTGTGCTTTTTACATTACCTTTGGATAATGCTGGTGCATTATCTTCAGGAAAATGTCTATTCAAGTCCCTTGCTCATTTTAAAATTGGACTGTTTTGCTGAGTGTAGGAGCTCATTATATATTCTGGATATTGAACCTTTATTAGGTATATTGTTTATAAATACATTCTCTCATTCTATAAGTTTTCACATAATTTTAAATTACAAATATAAGCTGGTAAGGATATGATATATTCAGTCAAATTCAGCAAACATGTATGGGGCACTTAGAATGTGCAGGATAATTTCTGCCTAGCTCTGACCTTGATATAGAAAGCAGCTCTTCTTGTATATTCCTTCCTCTATAATTTGAATCCAGTTTTGCCCCAAGAGAGATGATCTTAAACGTCACAATTCAGGGGCTCGCACTGTGGCACAGTGGGTTAAAACCCTGGCCTGAAGCGCCGGCATCCCCTATGGGCACCTGTTTGAGTCCTGGCTGCTCCACTTCTGATCCAGCTCTCTGATATGGCCTGGGAAAGCAATGGAAGATGGCCCAAGTCCTTGGGCCCTGCACCTGCATGGGAGAGCTGAAGGAAGCTTCTGGCTCCTGGCTTTGGATTGGCGCAGCTCCGGCCATTGCGGCCATCTGGGGAGTGAACCAGGGGATGGAAGACCTCTCTCTCTGCCTCTACCTCTCTCTGTAACTCTGTCTTTCAAATAAATAAAATGAATCTTGTTTTAAAAAAGGTCAGAATTTGGTCTATGCATTTTCCTGACTCTAGCTCAACCTTAGGTTTTGTGTAGTAGCACACTGTAGGCAAACTAGGGTGGTGGCCCTGTCAGCCAGTTCTCAGCAGAGTGCTGGGAAAGCAGCTCCTTGTAGAGCATTCACATTCATCTGGGGCCAGTATTAGTGGGGTCACAAGTCAGTTCCAGGATTGTTGAATAAAGTCAGAGCCCAGACTTTTAATCTTCAGATTCAAAACCTCAAAGGCAGGTTAGAGCCAAGCCAGTGGGATGGTGGCGGAAAACTTAGGATATAGTATAGCGACTGAATATATCAAATATGTCAAGTAATCATCATTTCTCCGCTGTTACACAAAAGTCGTACCAGGGAGTTAGACAGAGCCTCGGGATCCTAAACACTGCTTTCCAGGAAACCCGTTGGTGAGAAGGTGCCGGAGATGAAGCCTAATCGCCATGGCTGACTTTTGTGACATGGATGTTGTTTTGTGCTTGGCCTGCTCTTAGGTAATGCAGCCTCAGCTGGAATTGTGACTCAGGTCTCAGGGAAGAGGACTCCTGTGGTTTTTGTGCCCTGGTACTGGGACATAACATGTTTCTCAAAGGAACTGGACCTTGATATTCTCTCCCCTTAATAAAGCCATGCACAAAAGCCTGGAGGGACCCACCTGTGACTTTGATATCCCCGGTGGCTTTGGCGATGTCATTTTCGATCATACAGGAGTACGTGTTGTTGACTGTGACGTTGTAGAGCACAGACACAACCTTCATTGTCACATTCTCCGAGTTCAGCTCAAAGCTAGTGTTGGAGACTTCTGAGAAGTTGGCACCCTGGTCCACTTGGGATGCCCAGACCACTGTGGGCTGGGGGAACCAGCGAGGAGCCTCACATCGCAAGCTCTCTGAACTGGCATTATAGTCCACATTTACCTCTGGCATGCTGAAGGCTGCAAGGTCAAAAGTCAAAAGGGCAGATGTCAAGGTCAGACAGATAAGACAAGATAGCATTTGAAGTGCTAGGTCTTAAAAATCACAGTCATTCCCACCATTAGAAGTGACTCAGTACCTCCCTGGGGAGGAATCTGTGTGAAGTCCATTGTGTTGTAGACACAAACAATGATTTGCTTATTGCTATGCATCACAACCCTTTGGCCAGAATCACAAACTCCAAGTATTTAAGTTCTAGGTATATTATTGCTACAACAGATCACTTTCTCTAAGTAAGAGAAGGTCCCATGATCCAAAAAAACCTTATCCCTCAGGGAAATGGAGCATTTTCTTAGGAACCCGTGAAATCTTCCAGATTTTATGTATTTTTCGGCCTGGTGGATAAATTTAGGGTGAAGAGGGAGAAGAAGAAGAAAGAAACAAATGGCATTCTCCTGTCACCCACAGAGATTCCATACATAGAATTTACACAAAGAGATGTAAATTCAGAAAACATGTGTTCAGCTACGTTGGCAAGGAAGGGTGGATTTCATGGTGGAGAGGTATTCATGAGTTCACAGGACAAGACTGCTTTGGCCAGTTCCCTAGGAACTTCTCCTGGAATGGATTACACTGGATTGACTCAGGAGTCTGGAGATTCTGGTTGCAGACTTGGGCCCGGGCCTCCTTGGCATAGAAACGTTCCAGCCCAGATAGGCTTTCCTTACTAGTAGCACCAGGTGCTACCATAAAAGAGACTACATTTATTTCGGTAAAATATCTGTGAAGAACACACACATAAGTTTTGAAGTGGCAATAAACTAGAACAACAGATTTTAAGTCTTAACATGATGGCAGACTACTTTTGGAGTTGAAGTGGATCCTGGGCATAAACAGCAAGATGGCTGCTTACAGAATTGCAAAGGTCTTTGCCTGATACTGGTCTTTCATGAACTCAACATATTTCATTAGCAACTCCTGCTCTTTCGCCTCAAATATCTTTCGGTACGTTCTTTCCCTTCCCTTGAAAGGAACTCACCTCCAGTTTTATACTCAAGGTTGGCATTCCCTTTGCCTTTAGAAGTGATGATGTAACACTTGTAGGTGCCAGCATCTGTGAGTTGCACATTTTTCAGCCTCAAAGAGGCATTGCCAACTATCACTTGATCTGTAAACACTGCTGTCCGGCCTCGGAACATCTCATCCTGGTCTGACAGGTCATCTTTGCCTTCTTTGAACTCATGGACCAAGCCTACAACACCTTCCTTCAGCCACTGGATCACAATATCAGAAAGTCTGATGTCGGGTTCAAAAGTACAGCTCAGGATTCCATCCTCACCAATGTTCCCGGCCGAGGTGAGAGTAGTGACTGTGATGGAGTGTCTCCCTGAAATTCAAGAAGCAAGAGTCAATGCCAAGGGCAGATTTGGGACTTCTACAACCAAACCATTCATTGGTAAAAGCCAAATGGAGACTTTTAGGATAAATTAGAACCAGAAGCACAGGTGAGGCATTTCAAAAAAGACAACAAGAATTGAAGAGAAGGAAGACAACATCGTGTTATCTACATTGATCTGCCCTTCACCTTTGCTTTGGTGAGACCAAGAAACCTAAACCTTGAGGTTGAAAGATGAGAATTCAAATCTTGGCTTTGTCACTTTATAGCTATGTCATCCTGCATAAGTCGTGTTACCTTTCTGGGCTTCAGAAAAATAGAGGCAAAAATATCTGTCTTACCTACCTGAAGGGGCTCTTGTGAGGGGTAAGTCAAGTGGAAGTGAACTTGACTTGCAAACTGTAATTACACATGTAAGTTATTGTTAGTCTTACTTAACCAGAAGTGGCACAGAAGTGAAACCGCATGTTAACTGAATGAAGCTAGTAACTATGCAGGATGTTAAATTATAAATGTTGCTACTTTTTTTCTCCACTTGAATGATGAAGAAAATAAGGCATGGAGAATACCAGGAATTTGCTCAAGGTTACAATTCTAGCTATGGCATAGTGGAGAATAGCATGAATTTTGTTGATTTTTGCTCACGGTAGAGGCTACACCCTCCTTTCTGAACATATTACCAGGAGAAATATTAATTATGGGACCAGCTGTACACAACTGCATTTTCTTCACTTTCCTGGGTTATAGCCCAGTCAGGGAAAGATCCACCAGCTGTTCTTTGTGCACTGGAGGCGGATCAGGACGCCTTTAATTTGCTGAGTATTCCTGAGAGACTTCTTCTGTGCTCTGGATGTGAAGCTAAGGAGAGGATGGCCATGGAGTGGTGGAGCAGACAAAGCGAAGTGTGGGAGAGAGATCATGAAAGAGGAAGATGGGGCGAGTTCTCCACGCCAAGAGCTGGCTTGGATCCCGAGTGTGCTCAGATCTAGTTCTTGTCTCACTCTGCATGTTCTTTAAGCAAACACCTAACATTAAAATGGCCTGCACGTCGGTGCCACGGCTCACTAGGCTAATCCTCCGCCTGCGGCGCTGGAACCCCAGGTTCTAGTCCTGGTTGGGGCGCCAGATTCTGCCCGGTTGCTCCTCTTCCAGTCCAGCTCTCTGCTGTGGCCCGGGAGTGCAGTGGAGGATGGCCCAAGTGCTTGGGCCCTGCACCCACATGGGAGACCAGGAGAAGCACCTGGTTCCTGGCTTCAGATTAGCGCAGCATGCTGGCCATAGCGGCCATTTGGGGGTGAACCAGCGGAAGGAAGACCTTTCTCTCTGTCTCTCTCACTAACTCTGCCTGTCAAAAAAATAAAAATAAATAAATAAATTAAAAAATTAAAATGGCCTGCACAAGCCCCTCTGCCTTATAGACGTAAAAGCCCAGCATGATGTGTCCTGAGCACTTCTCAGTTTCCTTATTGGTATTCCTGTCTTTCACCTTTGCCTCCATCGGTCCCCTTTTCACGCATTAATCTGACAGGTAGACCTTATTACAGTGCATTCATAACATGTCTGTTCTCTAATGGCCAATCTTCCATGGTTCTTCAGGGCTGTGAGATGACTTTCCCATTTGCTAGCGTGGTCATCAGAACCAAACACCGCCTACCATGCAGTAAATGCTCCACGGGTACTTGCTGCTACCGTGGCAGCCTTGTTTCCCACTTGATCCTTTCATAATCCATTCTGTCTGTTTCTAGCAAATGATGTGTTGATTTTCTGCCCTTGATAATCTGTCATCTCTCTAAACAAAGCAAACATTTTCTTTCCAGATGTCAGAAATAAACATTATGAATGTAGGGATGTCCTTGGCTTTTCTCTTCTTCCAGCCCATTAGATTTGGAATTGTTTAGTTGCCTGCAAAATCTTCATAAAGTAGATGAGGGTAATGATTGGGCGACTGAATTGTAAAAGCTAAGCTAGATTTATTTTCACTAGAAAGAACAGAGGGGTTTTGACGGGAGAAAAATTAAAGCAGCAAAAGAAGCAGAGGAAGCAAAAACATGTGCATAGATCGGGGTGGGAAGATGTTTTGGAGGCTTGAGAAAGTGGGACGAGAGACTTCGGGAGCTGCTGCCATGCATGGCCATTCACGTGGGAAATTGAGAGAGAAATTATGAGAGGACAGTTTGAAGTTTGTGCTGCCTAATATGAATGTACTACACCCCCATCTCCTGTCCAGGCGTCTTCTTGAACAATGCTTTAAGGATTCAGTTTGCATTTCAATGATTTTCATTTGACAGACCCATATCCAGGGCCTCCCCGGCTGGCATGAGTCATTCAAGTACGCTCCCCGCTCATCTTGCATCAACATTTCATAGTGCCCTCCTCTCCTGTCTCCAAATTCTACTTAGATTTGAGTCTGCTCAGATGGCAGCCCTCCCAAGAAATCTTCTTTTAATCTGCCAAAAAAAAATTTTGTAGATTCTCTCTTTATTCTTCTTCAACACTTTCTTTGGCCTTAATTATAGCAGCTGTCTCCCTCTACCTTGCCTCTAGTCCAGATCTGGCAGTAATTTGCGAGTTTTTCAAGGGCAGAGATTGTCTTAATCATACCTTAAGTCTTACAGTGGCAAGTGCTATGTTCCTGTAGGAAAAACACGATTTACTGAGTGCATGAATAAATGGAGAAATGGAAATCAGGAAAGTCAAAGCACTGTTTGAGATAACCTATTCAAAATGGTTGTAGGAGTAAGGAACATTTGGCAGAATTACCACATCTAAATTTTGGAGAAATGAGAGCCAGTGAAAAAGAAGGCAATAAAAATACACAGAGATTCTCAATAAAATCATGGAGAAAATGTAACTACATTAGAGCAAGAGTAGACTTGATTATAGTTTATAAAGTGCCATTGAAGTTGAATTGAGAAATTACTTTTCAGAAAAAAATACATGATTAGCATAATATATAGAGAGAATGAAATGGTAATGACATATTTTAGTTCAGTAATTGTGTCACTGAGATAATTTGAAAGTGTTGGCCTTGAGCCCATAGGTAGGGAATCCATTGAAATATCTCCTAGAGACCTTAATGGTTAAAAGCAGGCAGCTGTGGAGTGCCCCAGGGACCTGCTGCAGGTTCTAATCATTTAAGGTTGCATTGATGATGTGGCAGATGGAATGAGTGTAATGTCAATTAAATCCTCCTCCCTCCACATATCAAGTACGGAGGAGTAATAAAAGCCAGGGAGATCTGAGACCATGAGTACCTTGCCATTGCTCTGCAACCAGAACATAGTCAGTCAATACTCATTTGTTAAGTGAATCAGTGAGAATTAAAAGTGGCAAAATGTAATTTAATTTACAAGCAACAACATGCAACTATTATTTCTCACAGCAATAACGTTGGAGCTGGCGTTGTAGTGCACGGGGTTAAACCATTGCCTGTGACACTAGCATCCCATATTGCAGCACTGGTTTGAGTCCTGGCTGCTCTGCTTCCGATCCAGCTCCCTGCTAATGTGGGAAAGAAGCAGAAGATGACCCAAGTGCTTGGGCTGCTGTCACCCACGTGGGAAGCCTGGATGGACTTCCTGGCTCCTGGCATAGGCCAATGCCATCCTCAACCAGACATTGTGGCCATTTGATGAGTGAATCAGTGAGTGAAAGATCTCTCTCTCTCTCTTTCTCAACTCTGCCTTTTAAATAAATAAAATAAATCTTTAACAACAAAAGAATAAATCTATATTCCAACCTGCAAACAAATGTTGGCTCAAAGAGCATTATAGAGTCTGGCCTGAGAGGAATCCAGACCAGCTCACCCCCAGAGCCTCTTGTGTGGTCTGATGGGCCTGAGCACGAAAGGAGCCCGTGCAGATGGGTTACAGGCAGCCATCAGTTGATCCGGGATTCTATGAGACAGCCACAGATTTTAAGTGCTTCGTTGGCCTCTAAGGATGACCACAGTTCTGGTGTCTGTGCGTGAAGAAAGTGGGGCGGGGGTGTCAAAGGGGAGCAAGTTGAACTCAGAGCAGCTCTGCTTTCACACGCAGTGCGTGCTATTCGATTGGCCGTCAGTAGTAGAAATGGGACTCTCTTGGAAACTGGGGTGCAGATGACACAAAGCAAGGATTCTTTGCAGGAATTACAGCTCAGTTCTGGAAAAGGAGCTTTCCTTTGAAATGACTCAGACCTGTACATTCCAGTCCCACAGAGAGCACCCTAGATGCCTTCAGTGTGGCACTCCGCATCTGCTGAAACCCAGCTGTCCAGATGTGCCCACAGGTGGAAACACAAGGCTTAAGCCGGTACCCATGTGGCCTGGATGGCACCTGTGGGCACCACTCTTGCCAAAGAAGAGGGTGGGGCTGGGAGTAGCCCTACCTCCATGTTGGAAGAAATCGGAAAGAAGGCAAACCGGGTCAGATAGAGGAGCAACGTAAGGAAGCAGCAGGGCACAGTGTTCGAGCACATGGCACAGGTGTCGGTGTCAGGCTGTCCAGGCCCAAGGCCCAGCTCTGCTGCTTACTGGCCATGTGACCCTGGTCAAGTTGCTGACACTTTTATTCTCTAATTTTTTCATCTGTAAAATAAGAATGTTCCCTTAGAGGGTCCCTGAAAGGACTAAATCATTCAGTGCTGGTGAAGTGTTAATGAAGTACCTAATGATCTATGTGAAACCTTAAATCAGTGTTATTTGTAACCATTATTGATTAGAATCATTTGGAACACTTGTCGATCAGAGCCCCAGGAAGTAAGGAAAGGAGCGTATTATTAAGTGCTTTCCCAATGGTGACTCATTTCAAACCATGAGGGGTAAGACCCAATGTACTCACTTTATGAATGAGGAAAAAGAGGTTGGTTTGCCTAACGCCCTGTATCTAGCAAGTAGTGGAGCCAGGATCACACCAGCCTTGTCAGCACTAAGCCTATGCTCTTTTATCACATTTTGCTGACTCTTGGGGCTAGATTGAGATATGTAGTCAGTCCACTTCATTTAAAAATAA